CAATTACGGCTTACGGAGGACAAAAATAACAAGTCGGATGAACAATATATATGGGAGCTATAGCTATATCTGAACCAATTTCGATCAAATTTGGAATACTTATTTTCAGGCCTAGTTTGGTTGTATGTGCAAAATTCCATACTATTCGGGCTGATATTACACGTTTGGTGTACAATAAAAAGCAAATCGGACGAAGATATATATGGGAGCTATATCTAAATTTTGACCGATTATTTCAAATTTTAATAGGGCTCGTCCTTGGGCCAAACAAATGATTTCTGCAAAATTTCATCTGGATCAGGCAATAAATGCGAACTGTACTTTGTTTTCAAAAATACATGGACGGACGGACAGACAGACGGACGGATATGCATAAATCGACTCAGAATATGATTCTATGCATCAAAAGGAACTATGGGTCTATCTCGTTTCCTTTTGCCTGTTACAAACAAATGCACAAAGACATAATACCGTGACCACCTTGTGGTGTAGGTTATAAAAATTGCCACACTTTTTGAGGAGATGAAGAGGTACTCTATAAAATCAGGATGATTTACATTCAGAAGCCCTTAAGCATTTAAATCTTTTTGCATTTTTTTAATAAATAAATACGGCTATAGAATTCTTTACCATTAAAAAATTAAACAAGGAAAATTACGTTAAATTTGATAGTGTCGGATTTTTCGAGCCCTTTGCCATGTAAAAACTTAAATGATCACCAAATAAATTAAAGACAGTGCTGTATTGCTTGGCAGTTTTGTACCGATAACGAACCTAAAATACAAATTGGTTGGCGAAAAAATGCAACTAGGTCTTCAAAGTACCATTAATCAGGGGAAATTTTAAGACCTGTCCTACGGAATTTTATTGGGAAGTTTTTATAAGGGAAAATAAGAAAAAACCCTACAACACTATGTGTTGGGGGTATTAAATGTTTGATTGGGCCAAAAATTATGTAACACCTCGAAATATTGGTTTCCCACATAGAAAAGTATATATGGATCTTCCTAGCTCGCCGAGCTGAGTCGATCTAGCTATGTATGTCCGTCTGTCCGTGTTAATTTGTTATCAAGCTACAGGTCACAATTATGGCCTCACGAAGTTGAAAATGGAGGTGGGTTTAGGGTCAGAATAGAACCCTATTGTTTTAGGAGATGATCGCACAATATTTAGGGTTTGAAATGGACCAAAAACAGAAATATTTCCCTATTTTGCAGTTGCTGTATAGGCCACAATTTTGAAAGAATTGAAGCGAAAATGTACATGGAGTTAGAGTTTAGGAGTGGGCAGAAACCTACCAATTTGGGAGGTTATCGGACAATAATTAACGGCTAAAATAGACCTTAACTTTTATGTAAGAAAGTAGGAAAATTTTCACTAAGCCGCGAATATTTTCAATCCCAGCCAAATCACAAATACATTAAGAGATAACTTCTTGCCATTACAGTGATGCTAATAGCCAAGAAATCGGATATATAGCAAAATAGGTATAATATATATGTCAAAGAATTGATCTTATTTATTCCGCTTATAAATCAAGAACTGCTTGGCCGATTTTCACAATTCCCATCAATTCGGAATGGTCACTTGCCAGAAAACGATAAAATCTAAGTAAATCGCCGAAAAATATACCAATAAAAAAGTGAATATTTTTTGTCGAATTTTATCAATTTTTGTCATATTTGTTATTTCATGCGATTTTTTCAATTTGACTTAGAATTTTGAATTGTAAATTTTCTAAATTTTTACACCCTCCAACACTACGTTTTGAGGATATTATATGCATATCGCAATTATCGTCTGATCCTCACGATATTTTGCATGGGGTAGGGTTAGGGACAGAATTAAAGCCTATTGTTCTTAAAATGTACATTTAGAGGTGCAAATGGACTAAAAAAATTTAATTTTTTCCAATTTTGTAGTCACTCTATAGGCCATAATTGAAAACAAATCGACACGGAATTTCGCATCAGAAAAAATGGACCACAACTTTCGTGTGAAATTGTTTTGAATACCTAACAACACTACGGAGTGCGTAAATATTGGATTGGAGGGGCTCTTTGACCTTATTTTAAAAACGAAATCTTCCAAAATGGATTTGGATATAATGGGACTTTAAACATATTGTAGTGTTGTAGGGTATCACATGGTCGACCCCGCACGACTATAACCTTTGCTTACTTGTTTTTTCATATTTTTGCAGAAAAAGAAACCAATCTCTTTTAAGCGATATATCTTATCTTCACAGCAGATCTTGTGTTAGTAGGAATAGTGGGATGGGTGAAATATGAGGAAATCCGGATGCTTATATCGGATTTTATAATCGTTTGGGTTACTCAAAGCCCTGAACCTTTGTGAGGGAGGTACCAGAATATATCTTTGGTTGATGGAAATATTGAGGTGTACCAAGTCTGAATGGAATCGGAGGATAATTTCGCGTTTTATGAGCTTCATGGATATTCAAAATTTTGACCCTTTGTGGGGGAGGTACCAGAAGGTTTGTACATATATATTCCACCTTTAAACCAGATCTTGTGTTAAAAAAATATTGTGATGTGTGTAAATTGAAGACAATCGGACTCTTATATCACATTTTATAAGATTTATAATTATTCAAAATTTAGACCCTTTGGGTAAGAGGTACTTGATGAAGTGGACTAATATTTTCGCACCTGACCTAGAACTAATAAAAATATTGAAATTGCATATTTGGAGTAAAATCAGATTATCCTTCCTCTTTCTGTGCTGTAATTTTTTTTTATTTAAAATTTTTTTTGGAGGGGCGTAAGAACGGATATGCATAAATAGACTCAGAATGTGTTTCTATGCAGATCATCAAAAGCAACTATGGGTCTATTTCGTTTCCTTTGGTATGGTACATACAGTGTGAGATAAAAAAAATGGTACAAAGTCAAACCTCAGGTACTGAGTCCTGTTGGAATGACAATGGACTGCGGGCAAAATGTTTGCATGCTCAAGGCTTTTATATATCCTCCAGAATTTTGCAGGTAAACACGATCATTTTGTTTGTATACAAATTCGGCAGTTCACCACATTCGGCCAAGCGAAGCAACTCTTTAGCTCTTTTGAGTCTATTTTTTTTCTGTTTCGGTGTAAGTTATAGCACTTTGTGGAATTTCAATGGCTTTACCCCGAGCTAATTTTTCAATATTTGCCGAATGGAATATTGCGATATGTTCGATTTTTCGCGATATGTGGCCATTTTGCGGCCACCGCTACACGGGTTTCGATCAAGTCGCTTTATTACTTTTCGAACCTTTTCTGCTGATGTTGCTGTTTTCTCCATCCAATTTCTTGACTTTGGGCTACGCTACCAGATCACGGTAACGTGCGATGTTATGAGACAGAAAAGATTTATTCATATTTAAATGCCGGAGTGCTCTAACGATGGCTACTTGTGATTTTCCACCCAAATATAAGGAAATCATACTATCGTGCTTGAATTCCATCACGAATAACTTTTTTTCTGGAACATTCTCACCAAAATGCTTTTGTTCGCTTGTAAACAATATAATGAGCTATCACTGGAATTATTTTAGCAGATGTCGGAGGAGTGGCTTAGAAATGACAGCAGTCTGAAGTTGGTTGCAGGGTTTTCATCTCAGCCTGTATAGGTTCAAAGTTCGTCAAATGTTGTCTGTACACCGACTGTATTGTTCTAAATTGTTGTGTTTTTCTTTCCCAGATCTGATTTGTATTCCAAACACTTTGTATCACAAACTTCTTCATCACAACTTTCAAATTTAAAACTCGCATCGCTTGAAGTGACACCTTGTCTTGTTAATCATAAAACTTTTTCAATTAGTTTTAAATCGGGTCGAGAAGATTTCTGTATTTTTAATGGCAATAACAGATACGAGCCCCAAAACAGCTTATAGACGATACGAAAGCATTCCAAATTTGCAGGTGGAAAATATTTCACATGAATTTTAATTGGAATATTTTCTGAAGCATAAAGTTTTCGATGACTTACAACTTCTAGAGTGTATTTTCTTAGAATTTTTGTGACCTACGAACAAAAACGAAAACATGTCAATTTCTTGAAAGCAAACAAATCAAAAAGTTTATTGCACTGCTGCTGAGCTAACAAGTCTCTGGGTGTAATGCACCCCGTTGATTGTGCAGCCAGGATATTAACAGGCAATCACAAATACAGACATAAAACGATGGTGGTAATCGTTTCTTTCTTTGCTGGAATATGACTCCCATGGAAAGGCACTTGATATTGACACAGTTACTGGCAGTGACATCAATAACTCGGTTGGATACGACATTGAACTCCAAAGCAATAAAAACCCGATTTAAACATTTTTATTATTTTTTGTTATTGCAATCGACATTTTCTCTCTCTCTCTCTGCCATTTACCATTCACACTTTGTTTCGAATTTTATTTCACTTCCAAACACAATTTGGCAAAAAAAAAATCGAAAAATTCGTCTTCATTTCAATACTCTATCACTGATGATTTGTAAAGTTCGCACAAGGAACATTTCCGCACAACACGATGGCAAATATGATGTTGAGATGCGCGCTTCACATGCCCATTAACCTTTACTCGAACTCAGCTCCTAGAAGACTGCTTTGAATTTTGTTTAGTTTTGTATATTTTTAGCTGGATTCACACCACATGCATAACAACAGCGGCGGCAGCGGCAGACAGACAAAAAACTAACCAACACATTGACATGCTGTACAACAGTTCTACAAGGAATACCCATTCGCCACATGGCGGAAAACAAAACACCAACACAACTATTGTTTTGATAAAATGTCACCAACACATTTGTATGTGGTGGCGGCGACAGAGGGTGCAAGAATATTGTTTTCATTCCGAGTGTATGTGTGTGGGCAAAAACAACCCAATAAACCATTTCATTAACCCATCTTAAATGAATACAAAAATAAACTTACAATAAGCCATTTTCTACAACCTGTAATAAGCATACTTATGATTGGTTTGTTAAAGTAGAAAATATGAATACTTTTATAACCGTGTGTTAAAAACGGTTAAAATAGTAATTGTATTTGCAATAACACTTGCAAAACATTTGCTAGAATAATATATTTGCAAATGCGATTACAAATGACTTATGTTCGCAAGATTTATATAAGAATTTTCGAAATAACATTTTCAAACTGAGCTTCAAAAACGGTTAGCATTGCAACAATATTTGCAATAACACTTGCAATACACTTTGTCAGAATATTAATTTTGCAAATGTGATTGGAAAAGACTTATGCTCGCTATAATTTTACAAATGTCTTTGCCAAGCAGGGTTTTAAAAACGCGTAGCATTGTAACTGTTTGCAATAACATTTGTTATACATTTCGTGCGAACAACAATTTCGCAAATGTGTTTGCAAACGACTTATGCTTGCAACAGTTTTACAAATGTTTTGTAAATTGTATCCCGTTATTTTAACAGGAGTGTTTTGCAATATTCTGATTTACTTCATTCTCCGAGTTTTATTTGAAGAGTGAAGATTAAAAAGTGCCCAATAAAAAGTGAACGTAAAAATAAAAGTCAACTTAATTGAATAATTATTATATTATATAATTGACACAGGTACGTATTAAGTCATATTTTAAATATGCCGTACAAATTAAAACATAGTGTTCGTAAAGAATCAAAAGAAATTGTTGAATTGTTGTTAAATGCTAAAAAACGTAAAGAAGACGATTCCAACGAAGATGTAGTCGGCGCCAGTGAAAGTGGTTCTTATTCGAGTGATGACAATTTAAATAAAATAGAGTTTTCCAGTTCGGACGACAATGCCGAATTTATAGATTCAGCTGATATAAAGAGTGAAATTGCAGCTTGGGCTATCAAACACACAATAACAACTAGTGCTACAAATGATTTGCTGAATATTTTAAGAAAATTCTTTCCTTTTTTACCAAAAGATGCTAGGACATTAAAACAAACACCGCGCGATGCACCGATAGTTGCAATACAAGGAGGAAACTATGTACATTACGGATTGAAAGATTGTCTAACCGATTTCTTGTCATGCACGAAAAAATATCTAAAGACTTCTATTGATTTAAATATTAACATAGATGGATTACCGGTAGCAAAAAGTTCATTAGCACAAGCCTGGCCCGTTCTTATTAATGTCAATGACACTGATTTTGTGCATACAGTTGGTATTTATAGTGGAAACAGTAAGCCAATAGATGTTAATGAGTTTTTAGGTCCCTTTATCAAAGAATTAACCGAGCTTATGAAGGACAATTTTTCGTTTGATAATAAGACATATAAAGTTAACTGTAGAGCTTTCATATGTGATGCGCCGGCAAGGTCACTAGTTCTGGGAATAAAAACTCATACTGGATACAGTTGTTGCCACAAATGCAACCAGAAGGGTGATCATATAAACAACCGCATGGTGTTCAAATATGAAGAGAACACATTACGCACTGATGAAAATTATAGAAAACGCTTAGATAAAAATCATCACAAAATACATAATCACATGGCCATAGAAGACTTGCCAATAGACCTAATAACATCGTTTCCCATGGATTATATGCATGTGGTTTGCCTGGGTGTTGTCAAAACTTTAATGACTTCATGGATAAAAAGAGAAATACAACATCATCCCTTTCAAGGGACAAAATTACAATATTAAACAATCTTCTCTTGTGTTTAAAAGGACAACTTCCTCGTGAGTTTAGAAGAAGTACAAGAGATCTCAATGAGTTTGATCGGTATAAAGCAACTGAATTGCGAACATTTCTTTTGTATGTTGGTCCGTTTATCTTAAAAGGAATTTTGGATGACGAGCGGTATTTTCATTTTCTGCAATTGAGTTTAGCTATTAGAATTTTGTTAAGCCCTGAACAATGTAGATCAAAGAATAAGTGCGCTGACGCATTATTAAAGAATTTTTTGAAGTATTTGCCTAAATTTTATGACGAAAGTATTTCAACGTACAATTTTCATTGTCTCACTCACCTAGCCAGCGATTGTTTGCAATATGGATCATGTGAAACTTTTAGTGCATTTAAATTTGAAAATAAGCTGGGAATGTTGAAAAGGCTTTTAAAGAAAAAAAATAATATATCGGCTCAACTATATAATCGACTAGTGGAGCAAAGTATCAACATCTCACATAGGGATAATACACAACCCAAAATATGTGCATTTTTTTCAGTAGTCCACCCTAATAATTATTATAAAGCTCAAAATAATCTATATCGCGTGTCATCAATAAGCAATCAAGATAGTAAAGTCATTGGACAGAAAGTTTTGAATTTGAGTTCAATGTTCCATAATCCACTGGAATCGTCTCTTCTTTGGCAAACAACTAAGTTAACAGTTTCACAAGAATCCTACCAACATAGCTTGAAAGACATTACTAAAATCTGTGCTTTAAGAAACAAAAATGATGAATTTGGCTTTTTTCCAGTTATACACTATGACTGAGGACAGTAACATAAATTTCAACAACATATTCAACAACTCGCATAATCTTACTTCCTTACAACCAGTATTAAATAATATGGGCCCCCTACAACCTGTGACACTAGAAGGTAAATATTCGGTGAAATATTTCGATGGTATAATGGACACCAATTGCCGATATTTTTTCTAATTCTTTTCAGGGATGGTGGCACATTTTTCAAAAGCAATTGAACCCATGTTTATTAGGCTTACTAATGAAGTCACTTCATTACGTCATGAAATAAATGTCCTGCGTAATGAAGTTAAGGAATTGAAGAAGGAGAAATCGCTTGTTGAGTTGTTGATGCCTGAAAGCCCTTTTAAAAATATAGACGAGTTTATGGATTTCGAAAAAAAATTGCAGGAAGACAAAAAGTTTTTGAATATGTTTGTAAGTAGCAAAGGAAAATTAACCGTAACCTAATAATATAATAAACTTCTTCTAAGGGAAAGGAGCTGTTAACGGTTGCCAAAACTCCAAATTTTACAAAAAACTGTTGGCGAAAGCTACTAGTAGACGAACTGGCGCAAAAGATGTGTTGGAAGGGGACAGAGGAGAAAAAAAGTGTACGCAGCCTCAGTTCAGCAAAAGCAATAAGAAGTAAGTAATTTACACGTGTTCTTAATTTACATATTTACTTGCTTTTCTAATTCTTTTCAAATATTATAGATGCAGCAATTTCTATTGGATTGAGCGAGGATGAATATATAAAAAGCACAAAATCTTTTTTCCAGTTCGCGAAAAATAGGCAAGAATCAAAACAAAAATATACTCCAAAGACAAAAAACAAAAATTAATTTTTTTCTTATGTTAGTAATATACCTTATATTAATAATACACCTGATAAAAATGTACAAAATAAAAATTAAACTATAAAAAATAATAAAATTAAAAGGTTTATAAAACTATTACGAAGATAAGTTTAATTTATATATGATAAGAAAACTATTTTTCTTCAAGCATAGTTAATAATTAGACTTCTATGCTTGTTGCAAACTATAAACCAGCAATATTAAAGCAAGGGTTCAATTTGATTTATTCAGCAATTGTTTACAAGCCTTTCATAATAGTAATAACAAGCTTATTCTAAGATTAAAGTTACTAGCTTGTTTCATACTATTGACTAGTAATATTATCACAAGGGTTCAATTTTCATTATTCTATAATTATTAAATTGCCTTTCATAACAGTAATCATAACAGTTTTCTAAGCTTAAGACTTATGATAGTAAGTTTGTTACAAACTTATTTTAAAGCGTTTTGATTTGTTGGGAATTGTCATGACTTTTCTTTTTCGTGTTGTGATGATAGTTGTGGATACAGTGGAACCTCATGAAAATCAATTTCTTACTAAACTAAATATTAAATTCATAACAAATCCCGGATGTTGCAGATCTTCTTTAAAAATGATATTTTTTCTATAGACGATTTTCCCCTAAAGAATATCTTTTTATACCCTCCATTTTTGTCATTCCGTTTCTAACATCCCGAAATACTTATCGTAGACCCCGTTGAGTGTATATATTCATAATCAGCACAAAATTTTAAGTCGATTTAAAGATATCCATCTGTCTGTCTGCCACTCTGTCTGAAATCACGATACAACCCACATTATTTGACGTAGAGCTTCAACATTTGGTAGAATAATTTGTATTGTATCTACGATGGTTAGTATTGAAAATGAGATGTATCGGTCCACGTTTTGGTAAAGCAGCTATATAACGGTGCCTTCCGATATTCGGTATTTTGATGATTTTCGCTACATTTTTTACGGATTTCTCTAAAAAATGGTATTTTTAGGTCATAATGGATTTTAGCTTGGGTGGTGGAACATTGTATGTATAGGTCCAAATTTTTGTTTAGCCCCATATAAAGGTACCTCCCGATATTCGTAATTTTGGTGATTTTTGCCACATTTTTCCACGGAGTTATCTAAAAATTGGTATTTGTAGTTCGTAATGGGTACTAGCTTCTGTGGTGGGACATGATTAATATAGGTCGACGTTTAGGTAAAGCCCCCACTTAATGGTACCTCCGGATATTTAGTATCAGTAGTTTTTGCCAAATTTTTCGACGGGTTTGTCTAAAAATCGGTAATTGTAATTCATAATGAGTTCTAGCTTTGGCTTCAGAACATTGAAAATTTATGTCCACGTTTTCCTATAGCGCACATAAAACAATACCCAGCAATATTCGGTATTCTGATAACCCTAGTCACATTTAGCCACGAAATTCAAATTTGGTATTTAAGAAGGAAGGAGGGTATTTGTTTCAATTTAAATCTTCTTCTAGAGCAGAAAATACCTAATTTTCCCATCGAAGCTCCAAATAGCTTCATCAATGGAAGATTCGGCGATCTATTATATACAGTCTACTTCCATAAAATACCCTCTATGTTTTCCTTCTCAATAGGGAAACATATTTTTATAGCCTACACCACACTGTGATCTCTGTGCATTTGTTTGTTTGTTTGTGCGAGGTAGACTTCTTTATGATCTGTAAAGACTCACATTCTGAGTCGATTTATGCATGTTCGCCCGTCTGTCCATGTATTTTTTTAAACAAAGTACAGGGCGCATTTATTGTTTGATTGAAATGAAACTTTCCACAAATCCGTTGTTTGGCCCAAGAACGAAGCCTATTAAAATTGTTGATAATCGGTCCAAATTTAGATATAGTGCCCATGTATACATATTCTCGACCGATTCCAATTTTATTGTGCGCCAACTATGTAATATTCGTAATAATATGTGTTTCAGCTCATCTGACCGAATTCAGCATAGAAACAAGTACTTTAAATTTGATATGTATCAGTTCAAATATAGCAGTAGCTCCCATATTTATTTCATTCGATTTGGGGTTTTAAGTCCTTCACATGCGCAATATGCACCCCACAACAATGATCTTTGGAACCAGATATCAGATACAGCACAAAAATATGTGTTTCAAATTTTGCCAAAATGGATTCAGATTTGGATATATCTCCCATATATAGCTTTCAGGTTAATTGCCGATTTCAGGTTAATTGCGCACCAAATGGCTAATATCAGCCCAAATAGACTGAATTTCGGCACTTCCGATGGAATTCAGCTAAGAGGCAAGTACTTCAAATTTGGGAGAAAATCGGTTCATATATAACTATAGCTCCAATATATATGTTTCTCTGATTTGGTGTTAAAGTTCCTCTACTAAATACGCATAGTGGTGTAGGGTATCATATAATCGGCCCCGCCCGACTTTTGATCCTTCATTACTGGTTTTCTTCTGTACACGACAAGGATTTTTTTCTGTGTAAAGAATTAAGGAATTTTTTCATTGAAGATCTGAAGAAATTCTCAATTGGAGATCCAGAGTTCGTGTTCCAAAAAACCCACTTCTTTAGAAAAATCAAACTATTTTTCTTTAAATATAG